GAGGTTTCTATAGTGCACAGGAATGCAGTCTAAAACTAGTTTCCTTTTGTATTGCAGAATCTATCTGCATTTAAGGAGCAATTGTGAAATTAAGCACTTTTTCCTGGCACACTCTTTATATCTGTAAGGCACTTACCCAAATCAGAAGCAGGAGCTGGTGGATACAGGACAGAGAGATGTATCTCCATGAATTAGAAAGCAAATCTTACTATTTTTTTATTCTTCAAACCACAAATATTTAGACTCCTTGCCTTTTGGGTATGTGAGAGTGAATTATTGTATTTCCATGCCAGTTTCCATTAGCCTGGATCCCAAAGTAGCTTACATATAATCAATAAACATTACAGTGGAACATCACACTTAATATAACAGAACATCAAAATTGCAATGCTTGGACTCCTGGGAGCTGCGCCTGTCAAGTCATAAAATACTGTCAAGGAATCCACAGTTCAGTTTAGTGTCCCATGGTATCTGGAGAGTCATGTGCTCCCGAGCCCTGCTTTAACATCTGAACTGTGTTGATATGTTTAAGACTAGAGGGAAGCATGGATTCATTTGAGTAGCTGCGGGAATACTTAATATAGCAAACATCTTAATAATAATAAAAAACCCCTCCCTGAAATTTACTCACTATGGTGTGACCTATTTCCTGTGGTTACTGCTGAGGGCTAGTGGAGAAGGATCCAAGAGACTTTGTTGGCTGTGACCAGGGCATGTGTGCTTCTCTCGAAACATAACCCAGTTTTAAAAGGAAACCTCCGTTTAATACAGAGGCCTGCCTCTTAAAACGCCAGTGCCTGATCTGTGCGTGCATCTGACTGATGTGGCTGAATCTTGAGGTGCAGGAGTGGGCAGTGCAATTTCAGACTGTAGATTAATGGGTGTCATTTTTAAAGAAATGTTCATTGTATTAATCTCCCTGGAGGTCGTAGAGCTAGTAGCCTGTGAGCTAATTAAGCCTGGAACCAATTTCATAGAATCATAGAGTTGGAAGAGACCACAAGGGCCATCGAGTCCAACCCCCTGCCAAGCAGGAAACACCATCAGAGCACTCCTGACATATGGTTGTCAAGCCTCTGCTTAAAGACCTCCAAAGAAGGAGACTCCACCACACTCCTTGGCAGCAAATTCCACTGTCGAACAGCTCTTACTGTCAGGAAGTTCTTCCTAATGTTTAGGTGGAATCTTCTTTCTTGTAGTTTGGATCCATTGCTCCGTGTCCGCTTCTCTGGAGCAGCAGAAAACAACCTTTCTCCCTCCTCTATGTGACATCCTTTTATATATTTGAACATGGCTATCATATCACCCCTTAACCTCCTCTTCTCCAGGCTAAACATGCCCAGCTCCCTTAGCCGTTCCTCATAAGGCATCGTTTCCAGGCCTTTGGCCTGGGATGCTGTCTCCCCCCCCAAAAAAAAAAACAACCCACCCACCTGTTGTCATCTGGTGGGCAGGTATAGGGTTGCCATATTTCAAAAAGTGAAAATCCAGACAGAAAAATCTCAAACAAAAAGAGAGCTATTTTTAAGGAACTACGCCAAAGTCTACACTTCCAACATGGGTTGCCAAATGTCCGGATTTTCCAGGACATTTAAGCGATTTCCTCCCAGACACCCTTTCAGACGGCCAAATGCCGGCTGTGTCCGAGAAATTCTGGACGTATGGCAATCCTAGGCAGGTGGACATGCCTTAAATACTATGCTTGGCAAGGGACGCTTGCTGTTGGCGATGACCGCAGGTCTGCAGTGATCAGTTCCCTTTGAGGAGTGTCATGGCATAGGCAATGCCTAAAGGTGGAGGGGTGCTATTTTTAAAATGCTCCCCAGGTGGTAGTATATCCTTTTCCTTTTAGGAAGCTTCTGTTGGGGGTAATGCCCCCCCCAGCTTCTCCCTGAAGATAACTCTTCAGGTGGACTCCAGTCTGCAGAACCTTGTGCAATAATAAATTGGTGGGGGCTGGTACTGGTGGGAGAACTCCTAGCTCAGCCTCAGAGTATTTATTTTGGATGTCCTCCTCGACCTGCAGGGACTAACATGCCTTCTTCGCTGGTGCTAGGTTCCAGGCACTGTCATCCTATCTCTTGCCAAGATCCTCCATGGAGCCTACAGCAGACTCCGTGAGAATTTTGGCTTCTTAAGTTAATCTATTTCATAATGGGGGGAAAACATGACTTGAATTGGTGTGCCTTTCAGTTGATTTATTTCCCTCTCTTTCTCTCCCCCCCCCACCCCTTGGTGGTTTCAATCAATGGTTTTTACCCCGCTTGGATTTAATTCAGTCCACATACTACCAAGGGGACCTGGGCTCTACCAAGCACCCTGCAAGCCGGGTGTGATCAGTGACCCTTCACCAGATGCTGCTGAGCCCCATCTCTCCTTAGACCCAGCCAGCTTGGCCCAGTGGGGAATTGGAGGCTTCAGCAATGTCTTGAGGGCTATGGATTCCCCACCCTAAAGTGAACTGGCAGCAGGTTCCATGCATTTCCCCTCATTGCCTCTGGGCTTGCAAGTGGAAGGGCGGTTTGCTAGTTGCTGACTCCTTTCTGCCAGCTCCCACCCCAAAGAGGACACGGTGCTCTTCAGGTCTTCTCTTGGCCTCCTTTGGGTGTTTTCAGGCTTTTGAGCAGTGGTGTTGCAACCAGAGTGTTGTTTAAACAGTTCTGTTTCCTTTCCGATGAAATTAAAAGGGCGCTTTTATGGCAGGTGACGTTCCTCTCCTTGAGCGGCTGTTTTTAGTAAACGCGGGTTTTTGAGCAGGCTTCTGAGAAGTCACACAGCTACTTGGACAGATCTTTGGCTGGTGTTAGCCATCACTTCAAACCTCTTTACACCACCGCCCCGCTGAAGGTCACATTGTTTTCATTGTGAGAGTGAATGATCTTTATATTTCTTTATATTAATTTTACTGATTAGCTGGTAAAAGTACCCATAAAGTATCAGGGTGGTGTAAAGGTAAAGGTACCCCTGCCCATACGGGCCAGTCTTGACAGACTCTAGGGTTGTGCGCCCATCTCACTCTATAGGCCGGGGGCCAGCGCTGTCCGCAGACACTTCCGGGTCACGTGGCCAGCGTGACAAGCTGCATCTGGCGAGCCAGCGCAGCACACGGAACGCTGTTTACCTTCCCGCTAGTAAGCAGTCCCTATTTATCTACTTGCACCCGGGGGTGCTTTCGAACTGCTAGGTTGGCAGGCGCTGGGACCGAGCGACAGGAGCGCACCCCGCTGCGGGGATTCGAACCGCCGACCTTTCGATCGGCAAGTCCTAGGCGCTGAGGCTTTAACCCACAGCGCCACCTGCGTCCCTTCAACAGGGTGGTGTGCAGCAGTATAAAAATGTAAAAAACAACAACCCACAATTAATAGTAGTACAGAACAATCATTTAAATGACTGGCTACCCAATAATATTGTAAACAACTGCATAGCCCTGTTTATCAGGGTGGGGGTGCCTTATAATGAATGGGAAGATTGGTCCTCCAAGCTCAGTGCTGTCTGCACAGACTGCCAGTGACTCTTCAGGTTTTCCAACAGGGAGTGTGTCTCAGCCCTACCTAGGGATGTTGGGAATCGAACCCAAGACCTTCAGCCCGCAAAGCCGGCACTCTGCCACTGAGCTACAGCCCTTTCCCCTGAACGTTCCCTTCTGAGCCCTTTTATGAAATGGGCATTGAATGGTTTGTGTGCCTGCAGAACGAAGAGCCCCCTTTGACTTTCCAGCACTAAACAGCCTGGCAGCCTTGGGCGGCAGTTGGTGCGACCTGCCCGGACCACATCCATTGATGGGAGACAAAAAGACCAGTGTCTGGTTTCGGAGGTGCTTGTTGTTCTCTTCTTGTTATTCCGATGCTTGCGTAAGGCTTCATAGAAGATCCGGCTGCTAAGCCAGGGTCACCGGTTCCTGTTGGAGCAATTCCTCATCTGGGAATCATCTGTCCTTACTAGGTACTCAGCGCTTTAAAATAATAATAAATCTCCCAACTGGTAGAGCTGAATTCTCTGACCTTTGTCAAAATTTATGTGGTTGTACATCATTCCTCTTGCATAATTGGTTCTGCACCCATCCTTTTCTATTTCTGAAGTTCGGTGGTGAGTAGCCAAGATGGCAGCATCCACACACAAGTACAAAAAAATAGGGTGGTGGTTTTTTTTTGAAAAGCCGGAAAAGGAAACTCTTGGATCTGCCAACCCTTTCGCTGTTGCCCTGCAGAGAAATGGCACCAAATGTTTGGAATTCTGAACTGTCTTGTCTTTCTTCCTCTCCTTCCCCTGCCGTCCATTGCCAGTAGTTTTCTGTTGGAATCAGCAACAATTTTTTTGGTTATTCCATGGTTTCTGAATCTAAGCAGGTCTGGGGTTGGTCTGTTCGGTGCATGGATGGGAGATTGCTTGAAAAGTCCCTGTGAGTCAGTGCATCCTGCTCATCTGGATGAAGAGGTGTGTGTGTGTAAAATTCTTGACATTTGCATGGCTGGAATGTAGGCTGTTGGCACACCTGTGGCTCCACCCACTTTTGCTCCTGGCTCCGCCCACCAGGGGCAAGTGGCCCAATGGAAGCAGCTCTCCCATAGGCCAGAGCAGCATTCAAAACTCCCGTTGTTCTAGGTGCCTTTTGCAGGAGAAGGACTAGACCATGTGAAAAATAAACATATTTTAGCTGCAGTTCATTCGTTTTCAGCTGTGTATTCTTGTTACAAAAAAGCGTGCCTAGACATTCCGTTGTTGCGCCCATAACCTAGGTTTAAGGTGCCATTTAGCTCCTAGCTTTCATATCTCAGCTTCTAACACTGGGCCAGAGTCCCTTGTCACTCCTTCATGATCTATAGGCCCACTACCCGCCCTCTGGTGGCCTACTGTGGCCAAGATTCTGTCAGGTTGACCCCTGCTGACGTATTCTCAGGAAAAACCTGTGAATTGGGTGGGCAAAGTGGGGCAGAAAGGCACATTTTGCCTTTCCTGGGAGACTGGTGTCAGCTTAACCATCCCTCTCTTCTTTTCCACAGAGATTTGAGAAGAAGTACAATGCTGAGGTGAGCTCAGGCAATGTCTCCAAAGGGACCACATTTGAGTACGCCTGGTGCCTGGTCCGCAGCAAATACAACGAGGACATCAAGAAGGGCGTTGTACTCCTGGAAGGTGAGCAGTAGATCCATAGACCAGAACATCCACTGAGCTACCTCCTTGATTTCTCTTGCCAAGCAAGACATCCAGTAAGCTGTTCCACCTAATCGCAAAGCAGTGGTTGAAACACCCACCCCATTTTGATTTGATTTATTTATTTGAGCTCCACAGTGTGTCCTTTTTGTACACTCTTGTTGGTTATTTTGTAGTTTTTATTACAAACATCCCAGTGCTTGAAACTAGCCAGGCACATTTTGTACCTGGCTATTGACCACTTGCAACCAAGTGAAGAAGCCTGAGTGCCAGAATGGTGCCTGACATCTCCACCATCTGGAGGTGCATGCCTGGGGATCCTTGGATCTTGACTGTTTTCACACACTAATGCCACATCCTATCTGTTATATTTTATTTGCACAATCAGAACCAATTTCAGGAACCAAAATGCTTTTTCTGTGCAGGAGCAGTGAACAATGTTACGGTTAATTGTTGTAGTTTGTCTTCACTTACCCCATCCCACTGCCCTGGTCACAGTTTTGAAGAATATTTCTATGTTATGAATGGTTTGTGTCACCATGAAGAAAAACAGGTAGGGATGGGCCAATATATATGCGGACTGTCCCTGGATTAAGTGACTTTTCTTCTTTAAGTCCTCCAAGTTCTTAACCTAGCTCAAGGTTGTCATCGGAACTAGCTTGATGTTTCAGTGAAACTCAATCACAGTCAGTCTGTCATTTGCAAAGGAAGACTTTAGAGCCGTCTTATCCCATAAAGCGGGTGGCGCTGTGGTCTAAACCACTGAGCCTCTTGGGCTTGCCGATCAGAAGGTTGGCAGTTTGAATTCCCGCGATGGAGTGAGCTCCCGTTGCTCGGTCCCAGCTCCTGCCAACCTAGCAGTTCAAAAGCACACCAAAAAGTGCAAGTAGATAAATAGGTACTGCTCCGGCGGGAAGGTAAACAGCATTTCCATGCACTGCTCTGGTTTCAGAAGCAGCTTAGTCATGCTGGCCACATTATCCAGAAAAACTGTCTGCGGACAAACGTCGACTCCCTCTGCCAGTAAAGCGAGATGAGTGCCGCAACCCCAGAGTCGTCCACGACTGGACTTAACTGTCAGGGGTCCTTTACCTTTTACCCCAAAATGGGAACTAGGCATTCCATTTTGGCATCTACAACCTCAGTTTAAGGATCCATTTGGCCCCTAGTTTATGTACCTCGGTTTATGAACTGAAGTCCGTTCTTAAACCACAACCGTTCTTAAACTGAGGCGTGCTTTCCCTAATGAGGCCTTCCACCGCTGGTGCCCTTCCACCATTCGGATTCTGTTCTTAGACCGAGGTGAAGTTCTCAAACCAACACTATTTCCGGTTTTGTGGAGTTTGTAAACCAAGGTACCACTGTATCTGAGTTTCCAACACTGAAACATCGCCACCTGCAAGCACTTGCTCTAATAAGAAGAGCCTTACTAGATTGGACCAAAGGTATTTCTAGTCCAGCATTCTTCCGCCTGGCCCCACGGCCAATCATATGGCCTCCAGCAAGCCCACAGGCAGGGTGTGACTAGCCCTTCTCCCCCAGCACCTGGTATTCAGCAGCACACTGTCTCTGAACGTGGAAGTTCATCTACCAAACGTGGCTGAGATTTGCCCAGCCCTCTTTCACAGCCACCTGAACCCACCACCACATTAACTGGCAAAGAGGTCCACGTGCCAAGTATGCTTTCTGCGAATAAGTACTTTTCTTCTGCGTGGTTTGCCCTGAATCTGCTGCCAGTCAATTAATTGAGCAGCTCCCACGTTCTGCCATTATCGGTTGGGGAAGGGAGAAAAAAACAACACATTTCTCTGCATCATAAACTTCTGCTAATGAATTTCCCCCCACCTCCAATGGAGTATCAAAGGATCTTCTGCACTGCGGGGAGAGAAAACCTTTTGTGTGTACGTGGCAGCGGGTGAGATGCCTCCTGTTCTTCCGCCTCTGCCACATCCTCCCCCTTCTTTTTTGTGTGTGTGCATCTGTCCCATTCCTGTTTTTTCATCGGCCGGGCGTGACCTCCTTGGCACAATGTCCTTGCTCTCCTTGCACGGCAGCTCCCCGTACACTCTCTTGACCTTCGGCTTGCCAAAGTCCAGGTGCCGGGGTGTCGTTTGGGATTCGGTTGTCAGGAATCCAGGTGGGGTTACTCTAGTTCCAAGTTCAGATTTTTGTGTGTTTTGTGTCCGTATGTTTCATGAGCTGTTGGAGGCAGGTAAAATGGAGAAACCCTCAGACCCATCTCTCTCTAAACAGATATAGGTAAACGTTACTCTCTTGACCCTTTTATTTTCAGAGCTGCTGCCCAAAGGGAACAAAGAGGAGCAGCGTGATTATGTCTTTTACCTCTCGGTGGGCAATTACCGGCTGAAGGTAAGTCCCTGCTGGTGGCCCTACCTGCTTCCTTTGGTTTGGACCTGCTTATATTTGTACCTTTGTTGTTCAGTCGAGATGGGATCCCGATGAGGCTTATAGTTAAAATCTATCAAAAGTTTAACTTTTTTTTAGGGAGGTAATTTCTTCTAAAGCAGCAGTGGGGTCACCTCCAGCTCTCGGGCCTTATTAGGCCTACCAAGCCTGGCTATTTGGGCTGTGAGACTGTTCAGTGAACCCACCCACCCTATATCGTACGTGATGTCAGGTGTAGGTCAGGGAAAGAACAGGTTGAAAGGGGGTCTGCCAGCCCCACTGATCTGTGAAAAGTCTCGTGCACAGTGCTTTGTGAACCCTGATGAGCAGCCAGTTGTTGGCACTTGCAAAGCCCATGGGAGCAGTGTGGTGTAGTGGTTAGTGCCATACTAGGACCATGGTGGTTGCTGTGGGGGGTTGGACTAGATGACCCTTGCATTTCCCTTGCGTGTCTACAATTCTATGAAAGGAGGAGGCAAGAGAATCATGTAAGCCACATTGAGCTCCATGGAGAAAATGGTGGGATAGATATATATAAATGCAATAAATAAACATTAAGAAATGTTTCGATTCCAAGTCATGTAGGCAAAAAAAAAGGGATGAAAAATGGGTAAGAGTTTCACTTGAGAGCTGCTGCCATTTGATGCAAACTATATACAAAGCTAGATGACCCAATGGTCTGACTCGATATGTTCCTGGTGTCATTGTGGTGCCAGGTGATTGACAGATAGACTCTCCCACCTGTTGAGCTTGGCCTCTGTGCAGGGGGTGGGGAAGATGATGATCTGCCCAAATCCAGCGCTCCACCTCTGCTTTGGAGGAGAACACCTGACATTGAGTCAGTGGGACAGAGGCAAAGAGGGAAGGAAGGTTCAGATCCGTTCTTCCTTTCTTCAAAGTGGCGTCAAGCAAGTGAGCTCTTCTTCCTCATTACCTCTCCCAGCTTCTGCCCCTTTCTCCCAAACTGGAACTGATTTGTCCCAGGGCTGCTAGTTGCTGGTCCCTCACTTTTGTGCTTGGACAGCATCCACAGGGGTAGCTCCACAGAACGCTCCACATAGCATTTGTTTGTATCCTCAGGGCTCCGATGAATGAATATAGAGAAGAGCAGCAGTTGGCACTCAAGAGGATTCAATCAGGCAACAGAAAGCTGTTCCCCTGTTCCATCCTCTGTCCCCAAATCTGACTTAAGGAAAGCTGAGCTTCTGTTTTTCACCTGCTTCCTCCTTACACACATGGGAAAACTTCAAAATGTTTTGCATCCTGCAGATTTTTGCAGATAGGCAACAGATGTGCTTTCTGCCTGGGTTGCCAAATGGCGAGTGGGAGAGAGATCCTCAGTCACTGTTTGAGACTATGCCTATCTTTCACGCTCGCTTCCCCCACCATGTGAGGGAGACGTTAACTCTCCTCTCCAGGGTGAAAGTCCTGCGTTTCCCGTTACATAGGCCCTTTCTTATCTCTGGCAGCTAATCCCAACTCCATAAACCTTGTCAAAACCAGGGTGGTGCCCACATGTATCAGTCTCAGCTGGGCCTTTTATCGGTGCGCTTTTATAGACTGCGAGAGCAGCAGATCATAACCCTCTTCAGTCATGGGGCGTGTGTGTGGAGGCAACGGCGCGAGATAAGCAGGAGCTTGGGCCCAAAGGGAAGGAGCGGTGCAAGACACAGCCGATCTTAACCGTGCAATCCTGCGCAAGGGAGTTCTGTTGCTTGTAGCGGGTCTCACACTGTCTGGGGTTGCAGCCCTGAGAGTGTCAGTGCAAATGATGGCAAGCCGCAGTTGATTGCTGGGGTCTGGGTTGTGCTACCGAGAAAGTGTTAGGCTTGCAGCGAAGAAATCCAGGGCAGTATCCAGCAAAGTAGCTGTGCAACGGAATCCCCCCCAATCTCTCCATGCATCCTCCATTCTGTTCTGGGACTCCCCAATCCTGCACAGCAGTTGGGGGCACATGGGGAGAGGGAGTTCCATTGAGCAGCCATGCACTAGCAGAACACCTTGGTGGGATTCGGCCCTGGATTCCACACACCCCCCACTTCAAATCCTGTCCTTCTCAAAGCTTGTGGCAGGGGCAGGGAGCCTCAGGCCCAAGTGTGGCCCTCCAGGCCTCTCTGCCTGGCCCTTGGGATGCTCCTTAACCACGCCCCTTACTCGCTCTGCATCAACACCCCACCCCCAGTGTTTTTTGTTTAGCAGAAAAGTGTCTTTTAATCATGCCTCCTGCAAGTGTGCATATAGAAACTAGCCTACTCTACAAAGGTGGCATTGGTTGCTCCACCCACCTCTGGCATGTGGACTTCAGAAGGTTGCTCAAGCAGCCACCGCTCTCCCCGTCCCCCTCTCTATGGGGTTTGCATCTCTTGTGCAGGTTAAACTCCTTGCCTTGAGCTAAAAGGGGGAATGGGAGAGCTTAACGTCCTGAGGCAGGAGACTTTTGAACTGTCCCTGTTTCCCCTGTAGAGGAATTCTGTCTCCTTAATAAGAACTGCCTTAGCATCCTGCCCTCAGCAGTGGTCATCCAGATGACCTCCTGGAAGCTTGAGAATCAGACTGTTGCCTGTTGTTTGTCTCTGTTTTCCGGTCCTTGGAGGCATCCTTCCTTTTGAATGTGGAGGTTTCATTGAGCTGTTGTGGCTAATGGACTTCATTTCTATGAATGTGTGTGTGACTTTTGAAACCCACTTCAGCAGCCGTTCCATAGGTTAGCTAAGGTGCTCTGCGTCTAGTCTGACCACAGCCGTGGTCCACATTGTTGGGTGACCCTAGTTCTAAGTGTACATAACTCCTTTCCCCACCTTCCTTGACTCTCCCCAAGCCTCCATCCAGCTCATCACTTTCTTTTTCCAAAGCTAGAAAGCCCCACATACTGATGCCTTCCATTTCACTCCATCTATGGTGGGCAACAGGGTACTGCTCATGATGTCCCCAGACACAGGTGCATTACCGCTCTTCTCTCTTTCTCGTAGGAATATGAGAAAGCTCTGAAGTACATCCGGGGGCTGCTGAAGACCGAGCCAAGCAACACGCAAGCCATGGAGCTGGAGAAGCTCATCAAGAGGGCCATGCAGAAAGGTTAGGGGGCCAGGAGTGGGGACCGCAACCCTTTCCCTCCCACCTTTTAAGGCTCTGTTCAAACACAGTAACTCTGATCCCGGTAAACCATGGTTGGGGCATTTCTCACAAACCAAGTGATGACTCCACATAGGAAACTGAGGCCTGTGTCAGTCCGCTTAGCTCCGTGCACTGGCTGGCTGCAGCTCTCCAGGGTTTCAAGAAGGGAGTCTTTCCCAGCCATAACTGGAGATGCCGGTTCTTGAAGCCTGAGACGTTTCTTCATGCAAGGTTTGTGGGGATCACGCAAAACAGTTTCCCAGTTTGGAAGCAATGGGGGAAATGTGGTTTAACAAACCGTGGGGGCTTTTTGTTTTTCAAGGGCGTAGGAATGGGGACGCTCTTCGTAACTCCTTGCCCAACAAACCATCGTGCTTTGGACATGTCCACTAAGCCGATGCGTTCAGAGAGCAGAATGCATTAAAACACCCAACCATCATTGAGTGCCTTTTACGAAATGCCTCCTGGTATTTCTCAAGGAGACGGAAAGGGGTTTCAACAGCTCTTAAGTACCAGCGACAAGGACCGGGTGCCTCGGATAAGATGGCACAGGGATCACTTCTGCACTGCCAGAGGCCAATGAGAGGGTGAAGGCCGTTGGCCTGGGAGGTGGCAGCAGCTATTCCTCCTCCACCTCCTCTGAAAAGGTGATGATGGAAAAAGTTGGTCCCCATGGCAACCGGGTTGGTCCAGCCCCCCTCCCGCAGGCTGCAGTCCAAAGATCTCTTGAGGAGCCTCTCAATCCTTAACTAGCGTTCCAGGATGACGCCTTTCTTCCCTCTTCTCTCTCCACAGATGGCCTGGTTGGCATGGCGATCGTGGGCGGCATGGCTCTGGGCGCAGCCGGGCTAGCTGGTCTCATCGGCTTGGCCATCTCCAAATCAAAACCTTAACTGGCTTGGTTAGGGAGGTGGTGGGGTCCCACCCCCCCACCCCCTTTCGCACCCGGCCAGAGCAGCCTGGCCTTGGCAACTCACAGCTCTAACCCTGCAGGGAAAATGAGGGACGATTAAAAACATGCTCAGCAGCCACTAATCCGACCCTGATTCCCGGACTTTCCCCTCCCCTCCTTCTGTGAGGCCAAAGTGGCCCTTTCGGTAGAAGACTGGCCAATTAGGAACATGGGCGCGCATGGCTGCGGGCCCTTCTAGCTCTCAGTCGCCCCAGCCCCCTGTTGTGTAACTTCCTTTAGGTTCCTTGCCTACGCTTCACCTATCACACGCTGACGTGAAGAGAGCACACGGGTTTCTCCCCGCTGCCTGCCTTTGCCGCCTCTCGCTTGTCGTGGGGCTTGGAGATTTCTCTCATCTGAGACTTAAGATACGAAATGCCAGGAAAGGACATCATTTTCAGAAGACTACAGTTGGATTGGGTGGGGCGGGGGGAAACCCCCCTTGTCCTGCAGTGTGCGGCTTAGCTTCTTGTTGCTGTGAACGATGGTTGAGGAGAAGGCTTTCCGGGACAGAACCTTTCCCTCACTGTCAGACTGTGTTTTCTCTTACACTTAATAAACACACACACGTGCCTCCCTCTCTTCCTTCCATCCCCCCAGTTTGCACTTCCTTTGCATGGTGCCTCCTGACCCTCTTAGCTCCGTAGCAGCACTGGGTTCCCTCTAGAGGAGCCTGTGGTCCTCCATATTTTTGTTGAACTCCCGTCAGCCCCAAACAGCATGGGCAGCGGTCAGGGACGATGGGAATTGTAGTCCAGCCCCATCACTGGAGGAACATAGGTGCCCCCACTTCTTCTTTGGGGTCTTCCTCTGCCTAGATCGCTATCTTCTGCTGTCCCCTTATTTATTTGATAAGAGCTGGCGGGGGCTGCCAACATGAGAATTAGGTGCACCTCTCTCGTTTCGCAACAGATAAAGAGAGCGAGCTTCTTGGGACATGGAGAGGAAACACAGCAGAAAAGAGGGACACTCAAAGCAGCCTTATATTGAAAAGTATCTGCTTCTGAGCTGACAAGGGATGGGTTCCTTCTTTAGGTTGGCGAGTGAAGACCCCTCTGGCGGGGCTTCCTTCACGCAAGGTTGACGTTCCAGTCGCCGTTCAGAGACTACAAATGTATTGAAAACACTTCTTTCCTCCTTTCTGGGAACTTAATCTCCCTGCTCACTGAACAGGTGCTTTTATATGGTTTTCTAGCCTCTGACTGGTGTGAGGCAGGGATGTGAATAAAAATTAAAATGCAGATGCGAATGATTTGGATTGTCTGATTTGCGCCTCTCATGAAGTTTGGGCCTCAGGTGTCCTTAAGGCAGTGAGCTGTTGTCCAATCCATCCTGTTTATGCTGTAGGCTGCCACTGAATTTCCTGTGTTTTGGGCCATTTAGGAATCAATTAGACCATTGGCCCATCAGCTGCCGGCATTGTTGATGCTGCCTGGCAGCAGATCTTCCAAGGTTTCAGGCAGGGTGCCTTATCGTGGCCCTACCTGGTGATGCTAGAGATTGAAGCTGCATGCAAAGCAGATGTTCCACCACGGGAGCTCCAGCCCTTCCTCCTATGGCCAGGGTCTCCCTTGATAATGAGCACCCGACAGCTTGCCTTGAACTCTGGATCCTTGGCAGCACCGTGCATCTTAATTGCTGTACGACAGCTCACACCCAGGCAGCCCCAAGTGATTTTCAGAAGTGAGCAAGATGGCTAATTTCACATTGCGGAACAGCTGAAACCTGGCTGCTGTGCATGCAGATGTTGTGTGCCAGCATCCTGGCAAATGCCTCTTGACCTAGTGAATGCAGAGGCTACACAGCAGCCTTTGGACTGAGCCTGGCAAGCTGCAATTCCCCCTCACCCCGCTGGCTGCAAGAGTTGCTGAGCAAGTGGAAGCAAAGCGATGACCTGATTCGATGGGCCTCTCTCCCATTCTGCAGCTGACGTGCATTTGGAAGCAAGTTGAGAACGTCCCATTGCGCCAGGATCTGTCCAGGACATTGTGTCTTGAAACGTCCCTTTCCAGTCCTCGCGCTCCATTTCTGACACCTTGCAGAATGGGTGGGTTGGGTTTAAATTAAGGCGCTTTAAATAGTTGTGGTAGACGTTTGTGCTGTGGCAAGGGAGGGATAATACCTCCGGTGGAGGGGGGACATTGTGCTCCTGGGGTAGTTTGTCCACCTTTGCCTCCCCTGCCCCGCACTCAGTTCTCGCCTGTGGCTCCTAGATGCTGTCAGCATGTGACAGCGGCCACCCCGGGAACAGCTTCAACTGGCCAGCTAAACCAGGTGAGGGTAGCTCATCTAGGAAAAGGAAAACTCTGGTCCTAAACCTTTGCTGCCCTGCGGGATATTTGGAAGAAGAAAACACATAAATCCAGAATGGAGTCCCTAAGGCTGTTGGATGGTGCCTTGTATGCCTCTTTCCAGCAACAACTGCAGCCAAGCTGGTACCAAACATCTTGTTCTGCTTTCCTTTTGTAACCCAAGAAAACCTTAAATAAAAACTTTTTTAAAAAAACAACACTTTGGGGCTCCAGATGTTGTGGGACTGCAGTGTTTGAGGATGTTGAGAGCTTGAGGAATGGTATATTCCCAGGATTTAAATGCCAGCTACCCAGCTCATTCGCCCTTGCAGAGAGACTGCAGCATACTAGGAAACACTTGATTCCCTTATTTTTGTTTTTCCTCTTCCTTCCCTACTTAGGCCTCTAGTACAGTGGTACCTCGAGTTACATACGCTTCAGATTACATACTCCGCTAACCTAGAAATAGTTCTTCAGGTTAAGAACTTTGCTTCAGGCTGAGAACAGAAATCATGCCCTGGTGGCATGGTGGCAGCAGGAGGCCCCATTAGTGGTGCTTCAGGTTAAGAACAGTTTCAGGTTAAGTACGAATCTCCGGAATGAATTAAGTACTTAACCTGAGGTACTACTGTATTCTTTTGGCAGAGGGGACTGGTTTGCTTTGTGTTGTCTTGGCCTTCAGTGTTGGGTTGTCCATGCATAGCATCTTCCAGAGGAGTGTGGTTTGCCCTGCTTCTCACCCAGGGAGTTTTCTGCATCTTTTAAGTGCAGCAGGCAGAAAATCACCAGGTAAAGTTGTTGCCAGTGCTGGATTTCTAGCCAGGCAAGAGCTTCCACCTGCTGAATGCAGAGGAGGAAAATATTGGTGTGCTAGCAAAGGCAGCAGCTCCTTCATAAAGGAGATTGATGGTTCCTAGAAAACTGGAAATGTTTTTCTAGCTTATCTCTTGTTGACGTTAAGTTTTTTATGTTGCATAATCTAGGGAAACTTTCTTTTGATGGTCCAGACTTCTGTATACTTCTTGGTCATGTTTAGTTAATGACATGGCTTTAAAATGAATAGGGTTGTAAGTATATAGGAAGCTGCTGTTTTTCTGGGTCAGGTCCTTGGAAAATCTAGGCCACTGTTTTATTTTCATATCCCGTTCTTCCCAGTTCTTTAAGGTTGGCATCTTTGGTGAAGCTACAGCTCAAATGGGTGCTTTAACTTGCATTTGCGTGATCTTGCACACATCCCTTCCTATTTTAAAAGCGCTGCTTAAGGAGAACAGACATGGATCGTTCTCCCTGGAGTTACATCACAGCAGCTAATCGGATTAAATGCAAGGAAGAAAGATTTAGGTTGGGTATGGGGAAGAATGTTCCAGTGATAAGAATAGTTGGGCAGTGGAGCAACTTTCAAAGGCTGGTCGCTTTCTAATCCACCTCAGAAAACCCCCCACAAATGGTTTAAAACTGTTGGGGCAGGTTTAGTCATAACTGACCATCCACGGGAGTAGAAGAGTTTGGATTTGATATCCCACTTTATCACTACCCGAAGGAGTCTCAAAGTGGCTAACAATCTCCTTTCCCTTCCTCCCCCACAACAAACACTCTGTGAGGTGAGTGGGGCTGAGAGACTTCAGAGAAGTGTGACTGGCCCAAGGTCACCCAGCAGCTGCATGTGGAGGAGCAGGGAAGCGAACCCGGTTCACCAGGTTACGAGCCCACCGCTCTTAACCACTACACCACACAGGATGCCTGCCCTCTTTTCAAATCCCCTCCTTCACACCCACCTTTTCCATGAAGTCTTTGCCAAGGTCTCATTGCTCCCCTACGGAAAGCAAGCCTAAAGTCCATTTGGTCTAAGTGAATCAATTGCCTCCCCTCCCTGTTTATCCTCCCAAGGCTGGTGCCGAGGGTTAGGCATCTGACAAGAGCCATCTGGCTGCAGTGAGGAGGTAGGCATGCTGAGAGACCCAAAGGGATCTCTAAAACCTGGACTCATCACTGGTCATCACCCCTCTGTTGTCTTCCCTATGTTGCAATTGCAAGTTCCTGGCAGCAGAGATTTGTCTTGTCAGTAACGTCGTGCCCAGTAAATTGGTAATGCCCATCTAAAAAGACCCAGTACAGTACTTTTATATATTAAGGCCACATTCACACCATGCATTTAAAGCATAATAGAATTGTAGGCTTGCACCATCTAGCTCCAGGGGTCAGCAAACTTCTTCAGCAGGGGGCTGGTCCACTGTCCATCAGACCTTGTGGGGGGCCGGACTGTATTTTTTTTTGGGGGGGGTGAGAAAGAATTCCTATGCCCCACAAATAACCCAGAGATGCATTTTAAATAAAAGGACACATTCTACTCATGTAAAAACAGGCTGATTCCCGGACTGTCCGCAGGCTGGATTTAGAAGGTGATTGGGCAGGATCCAGCCCCTGGGCCTTAGTTTGCCTACCGTTGATCTAGCCCAGGGGTCTGCAACCCGCAGCTCCGGAGCCGCATGTGGCTCTTTTACACCTTTGCCGCGGCTCCGGGGCGGATACTAGCGAGGGGAGGAGGCGCATTGTGCGCCCCGACACTCCCCACTGTGGCGGGCGCTGTACTGGCTGTGACGTCGCATGGGGGCGGTGCGTGCGTTAGTCACGCACCGTCCCGACGTCACCTTCTCGCCCGCCTGCCCGCTACATTGTAAGGGGTGTGTACGCTGGTCACTGTTTTGAAAGGGAGTGAAGAACACACACACAAAAAAGGTAACTTGTTAATTTAACGTTTATTTCTATGAGGAGTAATTCTGAGGGGTCAAACAAAGAAATAATAAAAAAAAAGTGACAAAAAAGTTATTTTTATAATGACGAGTTTTGTGGCTCCCAGTTTTTTTTTCTTCGGAAACGGGTCCAAGTGGCTCTTTTTGTCTTAAAGGTTGCAGACCCCTGATCTAGCCCAAGTCTGCTGCAATGCAGGAATGTGCAGCTGTCCCATCGAACCTGCAACTTTGTTATCAGCACCATGGCTATAACCAAGTGAGCAGTACCACTGTAAACCGTCATGGCTTCCCCCACAGACTTCTGGGAGCTGTAGTTTGTTAGGAAGTTGTTAGGAAAGCCTCATTCCTCCCTAGGAGCAGCAGTTTCCAGAGTGGTTTAACCAGTGCTTTCCCCCCCTAAAAAACACACGTTTAGGGGTACTCTCATTTTCGTACTCGTATTGAAATACTGCCCCTCAATGAGACCAAACTTAGATTCACAATGTTTAGGGGTATGCGTACCTGTGCGTCCCCCTAGAAAAAAAGCACTGGGTTTAACAACCAACCTTTCTCGCAGGGAACTCTAAATGGGGGTGGGGAACAGCTCAGTGAAAACTGCGCATGCTCAGTGGCCATGAAATGCTGACTGATGGGTGAGGGGTGGGGAATATGGACCCAATGGAACAGGTAGGATCCAGGACAGCAGCACTTTGTGGTGTTATTTAGTCGTTTAGTCGTGTCCGACTCTTCGTGACCCCATGGACCAGAGCACGCCAGGCACTCCTGTCTTCCACTGCCTCCTGCAGTTTAGTCAAACTCATGCTGGTAGCTTCGAGAAAACTGCCCAACCATCTCATCTTCTGTCGTCCCCTTCTCCTTGTGCCCTCAAATCTTTCCCAACATCAGGGTCTTTTCCAGGGAGTCTTCTCTTCTCATGAGGTGGCCAAAGTATTGGAGCCTCAGCTTCAGGATCTGTCCTTCCAGTGAGCACTCAGGGCTGATTTCCTTCAGCACTTTACTCATCAACAATACATCGCAGGTCACACGCTTCCTCTTATGCCTGCCACTACAAGCCCTTTGGGCTGCTGCATTAACACATAACAGGTGCTTATCTCTTCTTCTGCTTGGCAGAGATCTCCTAACTGATCATGCCCCACCCCAACATATAGTGACTTCAACATAGCCATCTGCATATCAAAACAGTTAAAAATGTATTCAGCTGCATTGCATTA